AAGAAATTTAGTTGTGACCGATTTTCCATATGGTTCTCATTATTCATACGTGTTTCTCCACCGTGTATATGACCACAAAGGCAGAAGCTAGCTGTAGATGGGCATCACACCCATAATTAAGAACTTTCCTAGGCTGTCGATATGCGCGAAACGAGGTTATTTTCTCGCTGGACAGAGTGTTCTTCTGTATTCAATCTGTATACATATGTAAGTAAATTCAAGAGACTTGAATTTGTGCCTCAAGTACAAAAATGTGAAACATTGCGCATTGCAACAGTCTAACGCAACTTGACGATAACAGCAGATTGCTTCGATGTATCACCGATATTGGATGAAGGTTTCATTATGAAGTCTTTGGTGGCGTCACACGTTAATTATTAATTAATTGCGAAATTAAGCTGCCCATGAAACAGTAATCTCAAATTCGATCAGTCAAAAGCAGCGCAAGACTTGCATTTTAAAAAGACCGCCATGATCTAAATATTTTTAAAATTCGATCATAGCGCCATCTATACGAAAGTTGCGGAAACTACTCAACAACTTACCGACTAGGTTTCCAGAAGAGAACACTAGGGTATCAAGTCTCTACAGTTTGATGAATGAGGAAAGAATAAATGTTCAGAAAAATTATTTGAATTCTGTTTACAAAAATAAATGATGAGCGAAAATGACTAATAAAGGCGGAGTAGACAATTTCTTTTTTATGGAAATTTTCTTCCTTATCGACCTCGACGCCGGCCGCTATATGTTCTCAAAACCCAGTCGGTAAGTTATTCGATTTTTTTAAAATACAAGTTTGTTAAACAATTATTTTAATAATTTTTCCGTCTTCTGCTGATTTTAATTGATTGTTAAAAAACAGAATAGTCATACTAACCGTGCTCTGCATCTGCAAACCTAAGCTCACTTGTGGGTGTCTGTGACCCCCAAAATCATGATTCCCTAAGAATAAAGACGTCCAATCTTTCTGTATTTGTAATCATCGGACTAGATAACAAACATTACGTACCGGTGCCACGCATGCCACGCCATCGAACTCTGATCTAACCTCAAACGTCAAATATAAGTGGAAAAAATGACTGCGTTAACAGTTATTGGAAAATTTTTGCAAGAGTACACGAAAAGTACGCCGAAGAAGCTTAAAATAATAGACGCTTATCTGCTTTATGTATTTCTCACGGGCGTTATACAATTTATATATTGTTGCCTCGTCGGCACATTTCCCTTTAACAGTTTTCTTAGTGGATTTATTTCCTGTGTCTCGTGCTTTGTTCTAGGAGGTATTGTAGTTTTTATTATTTACTTTCTATCATAAAAAGTTAAATATTTAATGTACTAATATTTTAAGTAGTATGGTTACCAATATGGGAGATAAATGCATCATATTGTTTGCTACATTCACTTGAAGCATTTGTTGGCTACAATTATTATTAGAAAAGTTCCTTACCTGGATGCAAACAAATGGAACCATTAACACTTAAATGTATTTGTTTCAGTTTGTTTGCGATTACAAGTGAATCCTCAAAACAAAAATCAGTTTTATGGAATAAGCCCGGAGAGAGGATTCGCAGATTTTATTTTTGCGCATGTGATTCTGCATCTTGTGGTAATGAATTTCATTGGTTGAATTGAAAATAACGTTTCGTTTGTACAACTGTTTAATAAAATATTACAACAATAACATTACATTCAACCCCATTATTAATAACAAATACCATAGAACAGCGAAGAATAAACTGAAATTTATCTTTATTTACGTAAGATATAGTACTATGTGGTATTAGGACATTTGCCAGAATGCGTATTCTTTTATATATATTTAAGCAAAAGATAGTAAAGGGCATTTAAGAAAAGACTACTCCATTAAAGGAATTTTTGTTTATTTTACATTTTCTATTTTGAGTATTTTTTATATGTGAAACATCACTTAATTTTGTATTCTGTAAACATTTAGACATAATAAAAAATAGTGCTTTTTATGGCAAATGAAACATTCCTAAGAAATATTTTAGTGGAATTTATAATAAATATCAAAATTCTAATTAAAAAAAAAAAGAATGAAATTTATTTGATATTATATTCTATTAAATAATATTTAGTTTGCAAATATTCATATTTTAAATATTACTTTCTCCAACGATTTAAATATATTTTACTCACAATTAATTATCCCTAAAATTAAACATTAAATAAAATTGATAACAAAAAATTATAGTAATCATTCGCTATTAAAATGCTAAATGTTTTTATTCTTTATTTAAATGGAAAAAAAATGAAAAAGAAATATTATGTTCAACAATAAATTCTTATTATTATAGCAGTCCTCTAATCCACCAATGAGTATATGATTCACAACCAGTCGATATTAACTGTGACAATCTTTTTTTCTATTCTTAAGAAAACCAATTTTCTTGCGAATAGAAAATTAAGATCGCCGAGAAAATTATCATTTAAAAAAAAAAAGGAAATAAAAAATTGCTAAGTAACTCTTCTTTTAAATTAAAAATGATTATCATTTTTTTAAAATATTGCTTTTTAACAGATTCCCAAACATTAATTTCTTTAGCAACCTAAGATTGAATATCAAGAAAACGTGTTCTGCATAAAAATTAAGATTTCTAAAGATGGTGTTTCTTAATAATTATTTTGATAAATAAAGAATAAAAAAAATAATTAGGCAAGTAATACTTTTAAGTTAATTCTTCTTAACATCGTTAATAAGAATGAAACGGTTAATACTTTAAGTTATTTGTCCTTATTTTTCTTAAGAATAAAAGATATACATATATTCTTAAGAAAAGTATCTAAAAAAGAGAAAAAAAATTGTACAGTATTGAAGAAAACTGCTTCTGAAAAATTGAACAAATGAGTTAAGTTTAAAACTAAAAAGATACAATATACATAAGAATATAAATTGAAACAGCTTCTACAAAAATCAGAAAAGGAACTAATAAAAGAAATAATTGTCTCTAAAAATTACCTTTTTAAGTGTAATGGAGATTAAGATTGTTGAAAAAATTCTTAGGAACAACGCACAGAATAAATGAAGCAAAATGAAGTAAAACACCAAAACGTAAAATAAAAGAAAAAAAAATATATATATAAGTGGTTGTTGGTGGACGTGTACTCCGAAAAAAAAAAATAAAATCAGTCGTATATTCTTCTTTAAAGAAGATGGCCGCTACGAAGCATGAAAAATCAAAACTTTTTATCGACATATATTTTTCTGTTTTTCCTATTTTAAGAGGTGGTATCAGAAATACGTTGCTCGGCTTCATGCTTTTTTCGGCGTTTCTCAAAATATCTCCTCCTTGCAGCCAGTCTCATGTGTGCCTTGCGACGCTGCAAGATCTGTTCTCTTTCTGACGAGGATTTTGAAAAACGTCCTCCTATGTTCGAAGGCTCCTCACCGCTATAATCATTTACACAGATTACACGACTACTATTATCACGTTGATTGTCGCCCAAGGAATACAAAAACATTTTGTATAAAATATTGAGAAATAAAATTACCTGTCAGCAAGAGGAATGTCGAATCTTGGATCCGAGGGTAGCGGTGTTGAGGCTGTGTTCAATGATGCACTGATCTCAGTGATATTGGTATGGATTTGAGGGACGGATTCCGACTGTGGTTCCTCGATTAAATGATGAGGTGATATCAACACTCCATCAAGAATGTTCTCAACAGTCCATTCCACTGATCTTGTCATTCTGAGGTCTTCTACAATTAGATTGCGTGGGAAATGTGGAAAGAGCTGTTGCACCTGTTTCAAATAATAAATCATAATAATTAATGTCTTATATAATAAAATTTTTTCCAATTCACATGCTACTATTTTGTGTGAATTAATTCATTTGAGCTAAACAGATTTTATTTATAGGACAGTTTTGGATCAAGTCCATCCTTCCTTGAACATACATATGTTCAAATTCACAAAATTATTATTCTAAACAATTCGGTAATAAGAATAAAATATACCTGTCTAATCATGGTATCCATTTGCGAGTTGTTGTGCGCAATGGTTGAAATATTTCCACGCAGTCTATTGTGAGAGACTTCGACAGAAAAGCTCGGCAGCCAGGAAACGTATCGCGAACCGTCGAAATGAAAGAAATGATTTTCATTTCTTCTAGCTGGTGTCTGTGGTTCGTTTGGTAATTCCTGTGTATTCTCACGATGATTTGGCTGCATGTTTAGAGCTAGCCTGCATGTTGGGCAAGACGTGTCTTGTTCCAACCAGGATTGTAAACAAGAATTATGGAATAAATGACCGCAGGGTAATTTTCGAGCAGTTTCCATTTTTTCCCAACAAATCGCACAGTTGTCTGAGTTGTCTGCTAATTCCTCTTGCGTTGCCATTGGATAACTACAAGAAACAAGTTTAACGTAACAATTGTCTTGTTTTTATTTTCATTCGATTAAGGAAAATACTTACTTTTGTTCCATATGGTTTAACACGGCAAGATAATTCCTGTGTTTGGTAATCTTCCTTTGTATTTCGTAGAAAAGGTATCTAAGTTGCATACAAATAACAAGAGAGGCCATACTCAGGAAGATATTACTCCAAAGCAGCATATGGATATGATGAAGGAAATCTATAGCAAGTACTATTAGCTCCGCTGCTAGATCTGTATAGTACGTCAAAGGACCTCTCTTGTCCCAAGAACGTTGCGAGGATGTTCCAGCTCCTCTGGTGTCATACAAATGAATAATGTATCTCACCATTACATGTACTGTTCTGACGCCTAGCAGAATGCACTGTAAAGAATACAATAGGATTAGAAGAAGAGGGAAAGAATCCCAATTGAAGTAGAACTTAAATCGATTAACAAAGAAGAAATAAATTACCTCGGCTGCTGTGAAGACAAAAGTATTGAAAGAGACGAAGAAGAAGGCTGCAGCTGTGCATAATAGCAACATAAAGGAGGATAACGCAAGAATTGTAGCAAGAAGTCCTAAAAGTCTTGCATGACTCCAGCCAGGGGTTGTTGGTGAAAAGGATAACTGAAAAGTGATTAAAAAGTCAGTATTTATATAAAGATACAATAATAAATATTTAGGAAAAAAAAAACACAAAGGTTTAGAAGAGACTCATTTTAAAGTCTTTAAAATAAAAACAAAGAATCTCGTGATGCCGTTATGCAACGAATTCGCATGAATCCCGTTAGTATAATTGAATAGAGGTAACCAGGTTATGTCTCTCCGAGTTACACGACGCTCGACTTTCTTCAGTTTATCTCCTGTATACTATTTCTTTTTAATTTACATAATTAAATTTATTATTGTACAAGAAATGGATCGATTAAAATAAATCTGAAAATGACATCCTTCGGCCGTTCATAGCCTACTTTTTCCTACGATGCAATAATTTTGTTTCGTTAAACTGCCAAAATATCATATTGTTCGTTAGTCATCGGTGACTCTTATGGCAACGAACGTGCTAGGAAGTTAATGTCAATCGAACATGACTTATGTTCAACTTTGGTTCAACTTTGCCGCATAAATAAACAATATTGATTCACGGGCATAAGCCGAGCGTGAATAAATAATGCTGTGTATTTAACGGGACAATGCAGAAACCAACATCAATTTCATAACATCTATTCGCTTCTGTTCCGCACGAGACTCGTGCCAACTGCGACGACTCATCTGTCCCAAATTCATGCTTATAAGATATGTTAAAATATTCGATAACATTCAGCGGTGAGAATGTGCGCTGAGATTGTATCAGTAGCAAGGCCTATCGTACGAGGAACGCTCGATAAACGAGAATACACATATATAGGCGGATACATGTGGAATTATTTATTTTAAGAAAGTATGTTTCTTGGTCAAGTTCAAGTCACATGTGAGACAAAATTTCAATATCCTTTCCTGTTTTTCATTAATGTTTTGCAAATTAGAGATACCTTCCCTAAAAAAAAAAAATAAATAAAAAAAAAGGATGTTTAAAAAAAAATCATTTTGCGAAGATTTAAATTCGCGCGCAAAAGTGAAGCATTTAGCCGACTGTTCTACGTTCTCCTAAACGATGTTGGTTTTTCTAATACCAATACATATAGGTCATAATCACATATAGGGTGAGTAACCTAATTTGACTTTATCATTTGCAAAGATATGAAAATAAAAGTCTTCACCTCTGGAATCGAGGCATTAATGAATTTCTAATGAAACCGTTTCATCTTTCTATAAATAACCAAGATAAATTAACGCGATAACGTTAGATGACTCACGCCATAATGATAAGACCTATTAATATGCAAAAGGTGATTCAAATCAGAGGATTAATTGGTTGAAAAGGTTCTTTTAAGTGTTCTGTTGCTTTCTCCTGAAAGATCCCTCTCGGTTTCATCACATCCGGTGCATCAAATTATTTTTGATTTGATTGATTGATAATTTTTCCCTCGATTTTGAGGGCGGCATTATTATCTAGGAGGGGGCTAACCGGCCCCCCTTTTTTCAAATCTCGTCTATTTTAACTTTTTACATACATTAACCTACTTTTTATATTTGTGCCATACTCTTAATTTTCCATTCATATACAATTTCGCTTTTTATTTATTTATTCCCATTTTCGCCATCCGCTATTCGTTGCCAACATCACACGGTAACCCATCTTTTGGCGAATCCGTACCCACTTAGCTTTACTTCGGTGATCTTACGGGCACCGGTATGGCCCAAGTGGCTAAGACCACTGACAAATTATTTGATATTTTTCTTGATCCCCCCTTGTAGGTAAATGAACAAAACACATGGAAGAAAGGTTTACGATGCGAGTGATTTATATGGTAGAAAAATCATTTGAAATTGAATCGCTAAGAATTTTGTGGACGTCCACCAATTCGACGCCCAATCGTGGATTAGCGATTACACAATGAAGTTACTTACGTATTCAAATCGATCCTTGCAAAGCTGACTGAGCAGACTTAGGAAGCCAAGTACGGTGAACCAAGCCCACCATAGAACCACCTCGTCCAGGTACTGTACGTTCAACACACCGAACACGAAGATGAATTTGTAAAAGACAAAGTTCCAGAATTTGTCTTTTAGATGTTGCCTCTCGGAGGCACGGAGTTCTCCAAACACCAATTTCTGGATAGTTTTACCCAGCAGGATCAACACGCAATACGCCATGTTGATAAGTGTCTGTTAACAGAAAAATTCATTTTTCAATAAATTATTTCATATTGATTCGGATGTAGGGAGAGTAGCTCATTTTGGGAAAAGACCGGGCGATTTCTTAATACTTTACCGACCGGTAGCGGTTGAACATCGTCCACACTTCTTACCGACCGGACGGCTGCAAGTGCTTCCCTGACACCGGCTCTATTTCGGCGAAGGGTAAGATTAAAAAAATTATATAGGAATATGAGAGTTTACAGTACAACCTAACAACTGTAACTCGACAATAGATAACGAATTATTGGTTGCAGTGGTTAACCGATTAATAGGCTACCGGTCGATAAGCGTTGGGGACGAAAAAGTGATTAATAGGCTACCGGTCGATAAGCGTTGGGGACGAAAAAGTGATTAATAGGCTACCGGTCGATAAGTGTCGGGCACGAAAAACCGATTACAGTAAAAGCTGGATATATGCAACAAACATTGGGACTCAGACGTTGCATATATCCAGCCGAGGTGTCGATTCTGGGCATTTAATGTTGCATATATCCAGCTTTTACTGTAATAGGATACCGGTCGGTAAATTATTAAGTTCAAGTCCAGGGTAATAGAAAGATATAGCATCTCCCTTCTGAAAGCTCGAATTAAAAAATGATATATCCTTGAGCATTATTATTGGAAGAATTCTGCCTATTTACAAAAGAAACACGCTTGCAACAGATGTTTCCATTGCTTTATCTAATATCCCTGTGTATATAAAAACAATTTCACTTATCTGAAAATTCGAACGTACATTTCATGCATCTCTTTATCAGTCACCTTGAACGCTCTACGAAAGAGACAGTGTTCCTATTTGGCAGATGAAGCAGGAAGTGATAGACGGCGCGCAATGTTAAATCACGTACCAACAATGCTAACGACTGCCAAATATTTCGAAGGCTAATTTAAGTTCGAGCCAACGTGTGGACAGTTATGTCCCTTAAACGGAATTAAAAGTGCGCAAAAATGTTTTCTCATATTTTTTTGTTCCAAGCAGGAGGAGTCAGGGACATTAACAATTTCCCTAGGGAAACTTACCATGTTCGGTACTGTACAGTATCAATCATAGTGTCCGTTCGTCTAGTGTATTTTGTAATTTCAAATAAATTATTGAATATTCTAAAGCTTTTATTACATGATTATGTTAATTATTTTAACGCTTTTATTAAATAATTAGATTTATGATATTTGCTGCGGTTAAACTTGGACTCCAAAGTCAGTGCTTTTTCACTAGACGAACGGACACTATGATGCATATTGTACATATGTACAATATCAATCATAGTGTCCGTTCGTCTAGTGTATTTTGTAATTTCAAATAAATTATTGAATATTCTAAAGCTTTTATCACATGATTATGTTAATTATTTTAACGCTTTTATTAAATAATTAGATTTATAATATTTGCTGCGGTTAAACTTGGACTCCAAAGTCAGTGCTTTTTCACTAGACGAACGGACACTGACTGATATAGTACAGTTAAAGTCGATAACTTCAATTTTCTAACGAACCTGTTAAAACTCAAATGGCTACCGTCTACACCAGGGGTAGTCAACCTTTTTATACCTACCGCCGACTTTTGTATCTCTGTTAGTAATAAAATTTTCTAACTACCCACCGGCTCCACCTTAGTCAAAAGGCTCCACAGTAATAGTGATTTATAAAGTAGGGAAGTAACTTTACTTGTAGTAAAGAAAGTAGTAATAGAAGTAAAATTTCCGTTTCAATATTTTTAAAAAGTCAATTAAATGAAAAAAATTGAAAGTGCCTCATTGTCAGTATTGGACAAAACCCCTGTCGCCCACCATGAAAGCTGAAAAGCCCACTATTGGGCGGTAGGGACCAGGTTGACCACCACTGGTCTGCATAAAGAATGATCCTTGAAATTTCTATCACTTACCCAAATACAAATGGGTTCGTCGAGCATACACTCGAGCAGCTCCTTGAAATGTATCGCGAAATTCCTTGGATCGGATTCCACGTCGCCCGTAGGCGATTCAGTTTCGGTATCCACATAAGTGTGATTACTTTTCCACGCTGGATCCTTGATGATTTCAGCGGCATAGTAAACCGAACAGGATAACACGGCGAAACTGATCGCCGTGTATACCCGAAGATTCGGGATTGGAAGTCGATCCAAAAATTCCATCGGCATCTTTGCCTTGGCCTTGTTCCTGCTCCTGGAAGCATAAACACGCGCCAACCGCTCATTATACGCGATACAAAGAACATACTAATTACACGTTCTGCGTACACAGGTTGCACGTCATTTTGTAATCAGTAATTTATGAAATAACGCGAATTTTCATGAAGCTAATAATTATTAATATTTTTAATAAATACTATTCTTTCCATAAAAATATCTGATAACAGTGTTCTGAGAAACTTTTCAATCTATTATTAGAATGTGATGGTTGCCGGAGACGGCTATAATTGGAGAAAAGTAACTAAGTTATAAATAACGTAGGAACTAGTGAGGTTGGTCAAGAATTTTCAAGCTTTTCTTAGGTTAATAACCCTTTCGAGACCGAGACCTTTATTATCCTTAATAAAAGTAACTAGAACTTGTACTTCGCGGTAGCACACGCAAGCATTGAATTTTTATCGTGCCCTCAGGGGCAAGGGCAAAGAAGTCGAACGGGACCAACGGGTTATGTCCCGTTGGTCACGAAAGGGTTAATGCGTTCATTGGTATGCCGGCTATCGGTAATCGACATTTTCCGTTATACCGCCGTGATATTAGCCGATTTCATTTCTCCCTTTGCTCGATACTGTACCGCGTATTTCTATTGTTTTAAAATATAGAAAATCTGACATTTGAATTTGAAGATTTATGTTTCATGAAAATAACTATTTAAAGATTTAAAACGGGACCCCACGGAAAGTGGGTTGTAGCCCCCCCCTCTAGGAACCCACTTGATCCAGCACGACAGTTTTCGCATTGTATTTGTTTTGGAACACATTACGTATACGAAGGAAAAATACAAGCTATTATAATCTCGTATTTATATCTACCCTCGAATAATATGTTTGCGTGTCTGCATCCACAAGTCACTGCAAGGAAATCAGCATTTCTGACGCAATGTGCATTGTAATAAAATCAGAAATTATTTCAACATCAATTTGTTCAAATGATATAGAATTTTCTTTTAAACAATGTCAAGGCTGATAGCGTTCTGTTATCAAATGTTCGCCTAGTCGATGACGTAATGCGCGAAACATGAGTTCTACGTGTCTAACCGTTACTCTGACCACGTGTTACCGCGGTCCAATGGAAACTTGAAAGTTTCCACGCGTACCAACCTGAAGCTTTCAACGTAAAAAACTTTCACGACCGCACTATTTTCATGGGATTTATGATTCTTGGAAATATACATATTTATTATTCCATCTAAAACGAGGGATGGATTTATATTTGATAAATCGTGAAACACTGATTTTTATTAAAATATCGTTCATACGTGACGCGATAAACGATTTCCAAATTCATGTAAATGAAGCGACCGGCTATCGTGCAATAAAACAATAATAACCGTTTTAAATAACAACAGACAAGAGTTTTTGCAGACACGTTCGTCGTTTATTTTGGAATATTTCTAAGGATGAATATTTTGTCGATACAAGGGGGGAAGTAAACGAAAACCGCATTGACGTTTTACGTGTTTACTCTGGTCACGTGACACCAGCTGCCATTATTCTCATATTTAAAATAACGAAATTTGAAGTATTTAATTATAAATTCATATTCTTAAGCGTCGTGTGTCTATTGGTGATGAAAAATTTGTTTTTAACGAAGAAGCAGTGAAAATAAATATGTTTATTAATTTCAGTTTGCAATAGACTAGATAACTTGAACTAATTTTCCTGTTAGCATGTTGTGCGGCATTGAATTTTTAGTGCTCTTCGATTTTTTTTTTATTTTCAATTTTTAAGTAATAAACGAGATATAACGTACCGTTACGAATTTCACGTTACTATATCACACTTTCTCTTTATCATTGAACCACGTATCTTCGATCATTCATTTACAACGTGTTTATTTACCGACTGATTAGAGCCTTAACAATTTGATAAATGTTTACTTTATATCCACTGAAAACTTGAATTATTGAAAAATATAGTATTCTGTTGGTTAATCCGAATAAATTTGGTGCTATCAGTCCTATAGATACGAATTTATCAATATCCGCATTGGTTTACATAATTCCATTCGTATTACTTTCTCGATGAATATTTAGGTGATTCTTCATTCTTTTTTTCGTATACCGTACCTTCCTTTCTCTCCAATTTCTCCTTCTTTATTTTTAGAAAGATTACCGGTTCTATTTGCTCGTATCGGTTTACACGAAACTAAGCCCGATTACCGACAGTCAATTTATATATGACACGCGAATATAAGTTATATACATAATTAATTACATATCGCATATCATCGGTCACACTCGATATGCTTCTATAAAAAGATACTTTATCGATACGTGAACAAGTGGACTCACCTAAGATTGACGACTTAAACACGTTGCCCCTAATCCATCGTCCAAAAAAAAAAAGAATGAAAAAAATATACTTCGTCAAAGAAAAAGCCCCGACAGCTTTTTTAGACGGCACTCAACGCATATCTGCACTGGATTCAAGAAAAAGGCACGAATACCGCTACGGGAAGAGAAACCGGAAGGCTGCTGAAAGTAAGACTTTCTCGGTCGAAATCGTCCATCAGTTAACAGCACACGCGTTTCTTTGCGGTTTTACATGGCACACGCGTGCGAACAGACCCGCGAAACGATTTTATTTCAAAAGGGTTTCCAGGTAAATAAACCACTACTTTTTCTACACTTGTTCGTCCAGGAGGAGTTTCGGGATGTTATTGCGACACAACGCGTCACAATGTAACACGACAACTGCAGTGCTCGAGACCGCTTAGGAAACTGAGCGTACAGTCGATAAAGAAGCATCGATTTCAATTGTAGTCGTAGAGTGGGGAGGGTACAGGTTAGGTTAGCTCCAGTCCTCGATTTTATCGATCTTACGCGCGTTATTTAAATGTCTACTTTCTCTTTATCATGTTCTTATAACATATGTTTATAGTCGTACTATTAGAAGGGTTCAAACCATTATAAGGATGATCAATGTGTTATGTTAATATATTTCATTGAAACGTCATTAAACGTACAGTAGAGGATAAAATGGGTTTCCATAAGGAAAATGGCGTTATGTTTCTTAATTTTATATTAGTGTATATTTTGGAAACAGTACTGTCAATGCGATCTGACGATAAACAGTGGAACAAGGAAATGCTCAGTTTTAAAATACCCGCCGCAAAGGCGGCGGTGCTGCCATCTAACGGCAAAGCGCGGAACTACAACAAATTTTGAATTGAGTTCTTCGTTACCACTTGATGGTACCACCTTTGTTAGTACCTTCAGCTTGCCGCTAGATAGCGCTGATAGTGCCGTTTTCAGGGGTGGAATGATAAGAAATTAAAAAATAGGATAAAAGTAAGGCTTGCATAGTGTTTTGAACTTATTTCATCTTTGGTTAACCTTTTAGTGATAAAAAGAGTGGATTTATGTTGCTTCGGTGAAAAGAAAAATAATAACCTAACAATTAATGTTTCCAATCAGATACGCCATGTTTTAATGGCCCATCTCGCGGAAGTCCGCAATTTGAAAATGTGTAGTTAATTAAATATAGAAAAACGAAGCAAAGGACAAATCCGCGAGCAAAGTTATGCATATTATTCTGCATCTATTTTTACGTTTACATATTTCAGGGTACGTATCTCCGATTATATAAAATATATGCATGAAAAGTGATATAAAATGGAATGAAAAGTAATTCCACTACTCTATTTTAAGGGACGTTATGTGTTCGAACATGTTTCGTCGTTCTGAGTGCGAGAAAAAGCGAATAATCATCAATTTAATTCAAGGTAGACGACTCGCTAGTTTTTGCTCGATTTTTTCAACAATTACGTGTTGTCATCGAAAGCAGGATGACGAAAATACATGTAGTAGTAAAATTACATGCAAATAGATGACGAATAATAAGACAGACGATTAAAACGTACGACATATCACCTTTTTTGTTGTTCTCGTAAAGAGGAATTAGTATAACTTTAGAATAACAGAGCGCAAAACGATAATTGACGTGTAACCTGACTACCATTATCATTCAATTAAATAATACATAGGTTTCATGAATAAATTTCAAACAGAAATATTATATAAAAATAAGTCTGCTTCATTTTTTAGGAAAATTAACAACTGTACATTTCTAGCACGTATTACTGACATTTAATATATTTATTATATAATTTAATTATCTATACCTATACCACTTCCTACGATTTTATTAATATCGAAATTAAAATGGTACAACATCGATTCCTTACACAATTTCCTAAACAATCTATGCGAGCATTCATGCATTCACACATTCGCGCATTAATAGTGTTGCGTTAACCCATTATGTTCGTGTAATTCTGAAAGCAGGCTGACATAACCTTAAATGCAAACAAGTAGAAACGTAAACATTGCTCTCCATGCAAACATATAAATCCGTACACTAATACATGAGTTCAATATTAGAACCTGCTCAATTGACATTTACACATGACGTACGTGACGTCCTCTGTCTGTGCACACGTAGCGACACACTTGTGGACGTTTTTAACACACTCGGGCGCCGATCTATCATGCATATGGATACGTATAGACAGAAAGCAGAGTGGCATCGTTCCCACACATATGTGCAACGTTTAAAGGAACGTCGAGACTCGGCAACGGTCGGCGCAACAGTACCGCGATCGCTTCCTCGCCGTTCGGACTTAGCGTCGCGCCACGACGCTGCGCATGCGCGTGCGCAATTTTGTTTTGCCCGCCTGCGCGTGCCACACGCAAATGGCGTTCGATCAGTGGATTTGTTAAGTAATCGACGTAGTGTGTTTAAAAATACGTGAACCAGTGGGTACGAATTGATTATTCTTTCGCAGAACGACTGCCTTACGCCAATGGTACTTATTATCAATACGCGTTGCTTTAGATTTGTTGGTTAACACTCTAGTAATCTTCCCAGCTTGGTCACGTGCGCGGATTCGATAGTCGATATAATTCGATGTTAACACTATCGACTTGTATCTCTATCGAAATTTAAATCGAAGAAATAGGTTATTATTAGAAAATTTCAGATCAGGTTTGTGGATAGATAATATTTTTAGAAAAATTGTAGACATTCATTACTTTTTAGTATTTATAAAATACTTATAAGATATCAATGTAGTTTCCACCTAACTTTAAATAATGACATTTTTTTTTTTCAATTAACCTATAAATCGACCGTGACTGCATATAGTAGAATGCATTAGTAAGATTCCTTACAAGGAAATTGCACCATGATTAAAAACAAAATGGATGCAACTAGTATTTGTTCCTTGGTTTTTATTAGGAGGATCGAAAAAAAAAATAATGTAATATTTTTCCTACAGTTTTAAACTAAAATAATTATTTCTATTTATTGTTTTCTGAGATTTTTACCAAAATTTTATTACCTGTTAGCAGAAAACACTCTTAAATGTAAATTTCTGTCCTTTCGAAAGTCATATTTGTCTTAGGGCAGTGTGCGCATTAGGTTCGACCGTGAAACGGCATTAGTAAATTACATAAATTTCGTTTTCATGAGGGATAATAATAATTTAATATGACATACGTTATTACGAACGGTTTCTGTGTTACGTAACAGAAACCTTTTTATAAACTAACGAGTGCTTAACTTATTGGAAAATATAATGAATTTAATCTTGATTAGTAATAAATAGACTTATTACATTTTATTTAGAACACGTTATAAATAAATCAATATTACCCTCGAACAGTATTCAGAGATCAATAATTCTTAAAACTTAATTATTGTTTGTCTAATCCTTTTCCTGTACACGGAAAATTTTTCTGCGTGCAATTACGTCTCACTTATCAAACGAAACATGCATGTATTCAGATAACAATTACATATTTTATTCATACGAAATATTCCGTTCAATTTATACATCGACAAAAAAAAAAAAAAAAAAAAAAAAACGAAGAAATTGTTTGGTCTAGAATAATACTGGAAGATATAACAGGGGGATTGCGGAGGAGGATCCGGATCAAGGAACGTGTATCGAAAACTCTTTTTAATCGATTGGTTTCTTTTTTTTTTTTTACTGTCGATGTCCGGCATTGATTCGTCCAAAACATTGACCCGACCAGTGATCCAAGATTCTCTTTATATCTTCTTACAGACATTCTGTCTACGGTGCTATAGTTTCATATAATTTGATACAGTTTCTTGTTTAGAATTTTGCATTGTAATTTTTTATGCAATTTTCTAGTTGGAAAAATTCTTATCAGTTATTTTTGATATATTGGAAAGGATGCATTTTCAAACCTACGATCACACGATCCTTTTCGATCTTTATAAATAGAATATTACATATTTTCACAATAGTTACCCTGTATACGTTCACTATTATATTTCTAATCGGTTCAATTGATGCAATAACGAAAAGTTTGTATTATTTTGACCACCCGTTTGATGTTTCTGTACCAGATAACAAACTCTTCCCACTCTTGTTGGTCAAGATGGCGGTTGCCTAATCTCCGGCGAAAAAAAAAGAGGAAGATAGAAAGAGAGAAAATATCAACGCGTCGCTTAACGATAACAAAGGCAAAAAAGTATCTATCGTGACGGCCATATTTCCGAAATATTCGTCGCTCGATTTCGTGGCTCTAAGGTAAAATCGTCTGGTGACCTTGAAATGGAAGAACGGCCAGAAAACATCGAAGGGCCATCGGTTAATTCTTCTTCTTCTTCCACGGATGGTGAGTAAGTTTTAATATTGTTTCCTTTTTATTTTTGTTTAAATGACTGCTATTTTGGATGATATATTCTGACAATGGGAGGATTTAAGGCATAGTCAGCGAAATTTGTAAGGTTAGAATAAAAAAGTTATCAATTAGTTGTAATTATCACAATGAAACTCGGTGTGCCAATATTTCATTGGCCCACTGTACACCCATCTGCAATGTAGATTCCGATTGGTTGAGAAGGAAGGTGGGGGGAGTAGCCTCCCACCATTCGCTTTCAGTCTTGAGAGAGCCTAACCTAACCTAGAACCTTCTGTCCTCCAACGTACAGAACATGACTAATAAATAAGGCACGTGATGGGACACTTGATCCCTTACAGTATCGAGCACGATAGGCTTCCCAAGGGAAAATGGCGTTACAGGGGAAACGAGAATTCTGAAGATATTAATAGTACAATTTTCTGTCATGAACGTTTATACTCGAGTACCTTCTTCCCTAGGGAAACCTAGGGTGCCCTCTTTCCTAGGGGAATCTAGAGCGCCCTCTTCCCTAGGGAAGCCTCCATGCTCGATGCTGTACATGAAAAACCCATCCCTTACAATATCGAGCAGGATAGGCTTCCCAAGGGAAAATGACGTTATAGGGGAAACGAGAATTCTGAAGATATTAATAGTACCATTTTCTCTCATGAACGTTTATACTCGAGTACCTTCTTCTCTAGGGAAGCCTAGGGTGCCCTCTTCCCTAGGGAAGTTTAGGGCGCCCTCTTCCTTAGGGCAGCCTCCATGCTTGATGCTGTACATCAAAAACTCATCCCTTATAGCATCGAGCACGATAGGCTTCCCAAGGGAAAATGGCGTTATAGCGGAAACAAGAATTTTGAAGATATTAATAGTACCATTTTCTCTCATGAACGTTTATATTCGAGTACCTTCTTCCCTAGGGAAGTCTAGGGCGCCCTCTTCCCTAGGGAAGCCTCCATGCCCGATGCTGTACATGAAAAACCCATCCCTTACAATATCGAGCAGGATAGGCTTCCCAAGGGAAAATGACGTTATAGGGGAAACGAGAATTCTGAAGATATTAATAGTAAAATTTTTTCCCTATGAACGTTTATACTCAAATTATGGCCCCTACTTCCCTAGCGAAGCCTCCATGCTCGATGCTGTACATCGAAAACGCAAACGTTCTTCCAATTGTCATTTGTTTATCAAGCAAATTTATTCTTTGGTAAAGGAAGCTTATTGTCTCTGCCCTCGAGCTGACATTAAACTGTTGTTTATGGAACATCCTGTACGATGTCTCCATAGAATAGCACTTGTCTTTCAAACCAGTGCGAACCGCATTCGCAGTGATGTATTAATAGCTATTAACAAGATCCATTAATTATGAAAATGTTCGCCGTGCGAATCGATATGGTTATGCAATTAACACATTGAAACATCTCCCGATATGTGTGTGTCTTCGAGGCGTGTGTCTCGCAAAAATCCAGGGTGAAACGGAGCGAGACTCGGGACGATAATGTTTCTTCGCGTCGGTTCGTGAAGATAACCCGGGGACCCTCGGCTGCGCAGCAACAAAATGGAATTCACTTGTGCTCGTCTACACCCTCTTCATATTTTCACGGATCTGTCGTTGAAGATCGATGCGCGATCTCGTATCTCATTATCAGACATATCATTACATATCATTTATCGCAAACATTTTCAAATATTGATTATTAAAAGTAATTAGTTATGTTAACACGTTACAAAATAATTACTAAAGTTTTGATTACATGAAGTCTATTAATAGGCTTCTTGGCGGGGGGTGGGGGAGGTCACCAGTGACTCACATCTAAAATTGTATATTTCGAAAAAGAGAAAAACAATTATTTTTACTGTAAATTGAAAGCTTAAATTTGATAATTAACTATTTATACCTTTAATAATTTCGATATTAATTTGTTCATTTCACCTAGTTTTTCGTTTATACCCATCGCTACCTTGTTTGAAAACACTAAACAGAGGAGCGTTTCGAATCACTTGAAAAGCTCTTCGTGTATTCATCATCTCAGACGTTTTTTTTTCTCTTGCTGATTGACGGAAGATGAATATATTAGAGATTGAATGGCCAGTCGATGGGTCCGAATAATAGATACGAATATTACATAAGGAGAAATGAACCTGTTCGTGTAAATATGGCTTTTATCGAACCTGAAATCCTGCTATTACATAAATATTATCACCGATGACTTGTCAGAAGGTACGAAATCGAGTCTTATCTGACAGACTTCCTTGGAAACTTCAAGATCGTCAACGTCGATTGACATTGTTTCGACTAAATGAAAGAAGTTTGGTAAAATTTTCCAAATCCACAGTCGCGGTTAAAAATGATCAAAACCTTGCTTTTTTTTTTTTATCTGCCATATTGACTGAATTCTATTTAAAACTTCTCTTTTTTTGGAAAATAAGTAGTTCAAAAGATGAACATATTTAACCCATTTTCAAATAATTCAACTGAAGGACACATTCATTGAACATAACGAATAGAAAACAGTTAAGTTACGGACAATTTCGTAACGGAATCCGTTGCCATAACGTATGCAGAAATTTCGTGTTCTCATAAATTCTTCTATTGAACGTATGCCTCTTCTTTCCACGTTACAGAGAAACATTAACATTCTTCTCTCCGGCAATTTGTCATCCTCTTCCATAACTAGACATCCGCTTCTGTACTTTAGTTTCTGCTGTTACGAGTAAATTTCGAAATTCTTTTCATTTTCTCGGACCGTCAAATCGCGTTCACGCTTTCGTCGTTTCTCTGCGCCGAGTTTTCTATATTTATGTAAGAATTTCTGACATAAAAGTATCGCGAAATAATGGCAGATCAAATTGAAGCTTAAGGTGCGAAGAAAATGACCGCGTAAACGTTTCGCCGGTGGCTAATTCCTTGGCGAAAGGAGCGATGGACAGACGACTGGCTCTATTAGGCAGAGGCGCGAAACGTCTTCTTGTAAGGAAAAAGAAGAAGAGCAAAGAATTGACAAATCGCGACACGTTTCAAGCGCATGGCGAACTGAAGGTTGCTTATAATGAAGTTTATAAACGAAGAGGTCACTAGATAACCTCGAAGAATGCCCATCTCGTTCGCTGTGCAAACGTTCTCCAACATGGTCGCCTAATTAGACCGGCTTGTACCTTTTATCTTTCATGCGAATAATAAGTAAATTCGATTGCAATTTCATAGCTGATTACACATGATTGCGCTAATAATTGAATAAGAAATTGGAACGCGAGGAAAGAAATATTCTGAAGGTTTTAGAACGTAATTAACGTAAGTAGTAAATAAATGGTCGATACGATAGAGAAAAAGAAAGGGGTAATTATTTAGAAGTTGGTCCTCCTCACCGATTTTCGTGACCTTGAAATATTTTGTCAAGGTCATCATTCTGAACAACTTTTAAGGCCGCTCGGCCTTAATTTCCGAGATATTCGTAAAAAACTGCATTTATACTTATGTCACTAGTATACTGTATTCCGGGAAAAATGGAGACTGAATAGTGATTGAAGTGGTTTGAGGTTAGGGTTAGGGTTAGGGTTAGGTTTAGGTTTAGGTTTACTGCGTACATGGCGTGATACGAGAGCTAATATTCCTCGTTATGGAACTCGTACGTCTCATTACGTGGAATATATAGCTGAGTTTTTATTCCGACGTCAACATGATGTTAATGAGCGTATAATGGCATTTTTCGACATGATGGGCGAAACGTTTCCGATTTCTGACAAAACACAAAATGAATAATAGGTATACAATATATAAAAAGTGAAAGAAAGAGTAATTAAAACGTGAAAAAATCAAAAACAAAACCCTAACCCTAACCCTAACCTCAAACTACTTCAATCACTCTTTCAATCACCATTCAGTCTCCATTTTTTCCGGAACACAGTGTACTCGTAATCTAAGTTTAACTAAAGATTTTTGCAAATATCTCGGAAACTAAGGCGGCGGTAACATGTATAGGAAAAAGTTGTTCAGAATGATGACCTTGACAACGTATTTCAAGGTCACGAAAATCGGTGAGGAGGGCAAACTTCTAACTAATTACCAAAGATTTTTGCAAATATCTTGGAAACTAAGACCGAACGGCGGTAACATGTATAGGGAAAAATTGTTCAGAATGATGACCTTGACAACATATTTCAAGGTTACGAAAATCGGTGAGGAGAACCAACTTCTAACTAATTACCAAAGATTTTTGCAAATATCTTGGAAACTAAGGCCGAGCGGCGGTAACATGTATAGGGAAAAGTTGTTCAGAATGATGACCTTGACAACATATTTCAAGGTCACGAAAATCGGTGAGAAGGACCAACTTCTAAATAATTACCAAAAAAAGTTATGATTCCATTTAAAAGACTTCGAGTGACCTCTAATTTGTTAGAAAAAAAGAAATATTTTCAAAATATTTATTATCGATAAAAATTGATGAATAATTGGGCCCGTTACTTTAGGATTGTTACAAGTAGCTGAAACACATTGTATAATAAATTTTTGATAACGCAAAAATTATCTCCTTAGATATTGATACGATAGCGATATAAATGACTATGACGGTTAGCTTTATCTTAGGAAAAAAGAATTGAGAATAATTGCAATATTTATCAAAGACTAATCTGTCTTTCATGGAGGGTTTAACTGACACACCTGCTTCCTTGCATCGTTCCGTATTTTTCACTTCCCAGCTTCTTCAGGTAGATAATAAAACATGGCGATAAGCGTTATCGATAATTGACCGATACTCATCTACCTGGATTACAAATATGAATCGATCACGTTTTAAACTCGTTATCAGTGTTAATTGGTGAACAACAAAAATTAACAACCCTTGTGATGTTCGAGATCTTCGAAGTTGATACAACAAGTGGATGTATTGGAAAAGTTTTAGAATTGCTTTTGCAAGAAAAATATGGACCCTCTATTGTAATATTATTTTAAGATTTTCGGATTTCAAGATTCTAAGTTACCCTAATGA